TTCATTATTTATATATACTTTATTTATATATACTTTATTATTTATATATAGCCAAAAGTCGTATGTATAATGCTTATTATTTTTGTGCTAAAGGTGATATTTTTTAGGCTACAACTGATATAGGAGGTCTGTTACTATGGAAAATAGCAGAGGACAATAAAATATGAAATCATAGGACCACATCATAAAGAAATAATTAGCTTTTATGCTCTTCTGTAAAACTTTTACATACGAGATTTTGTACTAACAATAGTCATGTAAATGTTCAGTCTGTACTGTGATTTTTTTTTTCTTTTATGAATCGGCGTTTTGGAAATGTTTAAAAACTTTATGTGGTATCTATTTGGGGGGGATGACATGAAAAAACTCTGATCGCAGAAAATATTTCAGCGCCAGAAAAATATATGTTTATAATAATAACTTTTAAAAAGTTTTGGTTGACAACGTTAGTCCCAATAATATATTTAAATAATTTAATATTAACTGGACGGTATTTATCTGAAAAGAACCAATTTTCAAAGTATACCAAAATAAGTTTGATTCGATTTTGAATAGGACAAGTTTTTCTCATGTTCTACAACATTAAAAATCTCTTGGCTCAGTTATCTGTCATATGAAATCGAAGTTTAAAACAATATTAAAAATATAATCTGTAGGCTTTATTAAAAGAAAATGGAACCAAACAGCAATTGAAGTTTTGATCAATCTAGTGGTATAATAGCAGTATTTTGGGATAGATAAAATGTAAGCAATATGCTTAGTGACAAAAATAAAATACACATCTTTGAAAAGTCATTTAACTTTGTCTTATGTATGCTCAAAACATGTGTAATATGGAATGTTTCCCTTCTGCCTAATCCCATACATATACCACTAGTTGAGCAGACCATTCATTATTTAGGTAAGAATAAAAAGTAAGTGTTATGTGAAAGTACTTTTACTTGATATCATTTGGCTCAAGCAGAATAGATCTAAAGATCAATTACTGCTTATGATTCCCTATATTCAATAAAATGGGTTTAATAAATTTTCTAAAATATATGTAGCAATCATTTTAACAAACGGCTGAATCGATTTTTAACTATGATTGTTCAAATTATTTAGTGAGATCTCGTGAGTTGTTTGAAACAATTGGGGCTTAAAACACCATACATGAAGAAATTATGTATAATCGATTCTCTAAAGGGTATGTAACGATTTTTTGATCTAAATGATGGACCGGTTTTTATTTTCACCTATACATATGTAATATATAGTAAGGAAAAGCATTGCAATCGTGAACATTTTCCAATCTCAGTTTTCAACAGAAATAAACGTTTTGAACTTCCTCGAGTCCAAATAACAAATTTCCACAAAATGGTGTGTGTGTGCGTGTATCTGTGTGTTTGTGTGTCTAGCTCAGAAACAACAATTCGTACGAAACTGAAATTGTTAAGTAAAGGTATATATATTTCATTAAATAAGGTAAATATAGACAACAAAGTTCTACTAGACTCTGTTAATAATTTAGACATTCATGATCACTTGGATGACCAAATTAGAAGCTAATTATTAATGATGAGAACAATAGGGAAATTAGTGACTCTAAAATGGGTAAAAGCACAATGTGGGATTGAGGGAAATATATGACCTGATTGCCTTGCAAAAGAAGCACCTAACAGCGATTTGCCGCCTTCGTATCATCAGGCTCCTTTATCCTATATTAAGATGAATTTAAAGCTGGATTTCATCAAAATATATGATCACATATGGGCGACCTCTGCTAAGTCACCAAGCTTACACAGATTTATACCACATATTTCACTTCACAATTACAGACGTATTCACAGTAATGACTACAAACTTACGCTAGTACTTACGGAACAAGAGAATACAAAACAATATCCTAAGAGATTTAAGGTTATACAAACAGACTTATGCGGTGAAGACGGACAGGTTCAAAATTTTAAACATATAATATATGGCTGTAAACGATTTGACAGACAGCGATTTGAGTTAATAAAACGCATAGATATCAAAAGTTAAAATCGGCCTGAGACGGAAAAAAAATTATTTACTGAATTCAAGATAGACTTTCTTAAAATAATTAGATCTATCGACTTCGACTTACTGGCTAGTGATGGGCAGCTTAGATGATTTATTGTTGGCTTTGCTGAATTGACTTTTTGGGTTTAACTTAATTGTTTCGGTTTTATTTTCTGTGTGTTTAATTTTTTATACATTTGTTTGTTAAAATATATAATTTTGAACTAAAAATTCATATGTCAAACTAGAAAAGAAAATTATTTAAACAATTATAATTCATGTAGTATGCCTTTAAGGCTTGGAGTATGAAGACGAATCAAATAAACGATCATTATGTGGGGTTACCTCATGGCAAAAATTAAGTAGGTATATATCTGGGAAAAATAGACCAAGAGATATCAAACAGGACCAAAAAAGCAAATGGCATCTATTACCAGATCTGCAACACAGTCGTAGGAAAACGTAGAAGTGGAAAATATGACTAAGATCCATATAAACACCACAGTCCACCTTCCAGCAAGTCTAGAGGGACCCTTCCTCCAGCAAATCTGGAGATCCCCTCCCTCCAACAAGTCTGGAGGGCCCCCTTCATTGTTGGCGAGAGAGTCCATCGGGCCGAGCCGAGAGGAACTTCCGAGGAATTTCCACCGACCATCCCCACATCCGCCACCCGTGGTTCGGTTTTTGTTTTCTGTTTAATTTTTTTTTTTTTTTTGTGTGGATTTTGCCAACGAGAGATCTAGATGAATAAAATTTAAATCGCAATAGGCCGATTTTTATTCAAATATGTTTAAAAACAGTCTTGTAAAATAAAATAGAATATTTTCTATAAAAGCATATGACTTTTGACAAAGAGGAATAAATATGATAGATAAGTAAAAATTTTCATAATATCCAGTTTCCAGGTACACAACACCTTAGTGCTATTTGTACCTTTGAGGCCTTAAGTGCATTCATTGAGTGTATACGTTAAGCTCTTCAAAGAAAGATGCAGTGTTGTGAACAGTCGTTCCACCTAATACCAGTCTGAAACCTGGATAGTTCTTGTTGAGCATATGAACTGTCAATGATTCTTCATACAAATAAGTAATTTGATTAAATTACTTATTTTTCATGCTATGAGGTCTCCTTCGGCTCGTTCAACTCGAATTTGATCTTTTGAATCATGATAGTCAATAGTTTGTAGCAATAATTTCTATTTAGTTTGGAATAACTACGAAAAATATTCAAATATAGTTTCTCGCTGAACCAAGACAGAAGTCACTACAGAATGTCACAACAGTCTTAATAAAATCACTGTAATGACGATCAAGAAAGAACAAGCTAAAGTATATAAAAATAGGTTACTGAATAATAGTATTTTGAATTTCTAATTGAAACACAACTCGAGCTCGTGATCAATAATTTGTTTCGATGTTGGTTTTTAAATATACGCAATGAAACAAATAAACTTTTGCCATTCAAAATTCAAGTCAATCCATTTGATATTTAAATCATATCAATCTGCCGAAATGCAGTTATAATCACTTTTAAATTACTCATTTATGTACTCATAAAATAATTAAAAATTACACATTCAATCTCCTCATTATTGACTCGATTTAAATAATGAAAATTTTCTTAGAAAAATTTTTATGAAATGTTAAAGATGGGTTTGCTGTATGGAATACTTGTAGCTATTTTTTCTTAACAATTTTAATCAATGTCTAAAATATATTGGCCAAAATCTATTTGAAATATTTCTGATAGGTACCAAAGGTATACGGAAAAAAAATTGTTGTTTGTAATAATGTTTGATATAGCGATGTCAGAGAAAGTCTCTATCCAATCACAATCATTCTCTAACATGCCTATAACATTTTATGCGGCCTGTAAAGTAGAATAAACGATGGCATTGACAGTAGTTAAACTTCCGAATGAAGTTAGTGCTCGAATGTGAAACAAACTTCGAATGAAAACGTTAGGTTTGATGAGGATAACTCGTTTAGAGTCTACCAAGTGTATCTATTTTGATTCTACCTTTGCCTTGAACACTGCAGCTTCTATTTTTTTAAGAAGATCAATCATTTGAATGACTATATTTTCCTAAATTTAAAAGTAGTCTAGCAAATTCATGTTGTTATCCGTCGATTATTGATGACCATGAATATTATCTACAGTGGAATAAGCTCTTTGATTGCTTGCAAGATAAATTGCTAAGTGGATCACTGCTGGAAATATTTCATGGATATAAAAAAACAAAGAATCGCCAAAATTCTTTTGAAGAAAATTTTTTTTTTTTTTTTTTTTTTTTTTTTTTTTTTTTTTTTTCCTACCCACCAGGAATTATGCACGACCGTTTTATAGTTATTTATCACGACACTATCATTTTGAATGAGAATGACTTTATAAACTTTTTTGAGGAAATAATTGATTGATTGAATCCAATACCATTATTACACGTTTATTTTATTATTTATTATTATTATATAATTTTAATAATATAATAGCTCAATGATTAGATTTGTTTAAGAATTAACGAACGTATTATACAAAAAAAAAAAAAAGAAAAAACTGAGAAATAATAGATTGTGAGATGGAAACAGTGAATTTTAAAAGTATGGATGAAATTTTTTTTCGTGTTTCTTTATCTCTATTCAAGGAGACAATTATTTAAGGTGGATGAAATGTGTGTAAAACATGGTGCATCAGATTTTTTGTTACAATTTTAGTTTTAAAACCACCGATTATTTTCATACAAACAGGATTACCACAGAGCGATTTTCAGGTCTACAGTTCTTTTTATTGCTAAAGTGATTATTTGATAAATAAATTAGAATTAATTAAATTAAAAAAAATTAGGATAATAAAAGTAAATAAAACAGGAATGTCCTACTATTAGGTTTACAGTTTAAGGCAGGAGGTTTAAAAATAAGTTATTTAAATGGATGATATATTTATTAAATACAACTAAAATTATAAAGCCGGAAAATCTACTAAACCTTTAGTTCTCCCAAATTCATCACCTTCGGGTGATTGTAAGCCCCGGAAGGGTTTTTGTTATAAATAGGACTCCATTCAGCGTTCCAAGGCATGAAGTAAATTGCCTTAGGGTATCGGGACGCAACTATTTTCATGAAACGATCGTAATCGAACTGTCCGTCTTTGGAATAAGGGCCGACTTCGGCGAAGGTGAAAGGCTTGCCCAGGCTGGTCATCTCATCGTAGCCCTTAAGCTGGTTTGGGTCATCGGAGTACCAGTCCAACCCAACGATGTCCACGTATTCATCGCCAGGATAATAAGCGGTTCTGGACTCTCTGCTTTGATCGGGAGAGTAGACCCAAAGGATGTTGTCCAAGCCCTTATTTGCCATGAAGTTGAAAAGTTCCTTCCAGAGCATCTTGAAGAGGCGCTTTCGCTCTTCGTTTTGAGTTTCGTCTTTCATAGCTGACCACCAGACCCAGGGTCCGTTCATTTCGTGGAAGGGACGATATAGGATGGTTATTCCTTGGTTCTTATACTGTTGTAAGCCTTCAGCGATCTTTTCCATCGTTTTCAACCACCTGTTCCTTATTGGAGTTCCGTCTTGGAGAATAGCGGCGTAATCACTGTTGTTAATTTCTCCGTCTCCGATATAATTGTTGCCTGGATATACAGGATTCGGTATGTGGTGACTAACGGTAATAATACCGCCCTTTTTGGCGTAATCTACCGCCAGAGAGTTATAGCAATCGATGACGTCGGTTTCATGCCCTTCAGCAGTTTTCGCTTAACCTGGAGAACAGTCGATTCCGTAGACGGCGGGTAATTTGTTAGTCAAGCTCTTTATTTGGTTGGCTTGATTCATGGAGAAGCCGATCTCATGCTGGAACCGGTTGTAGCCTCCGAATGCTCCGGAGAGAATCCGGTCTCCAATGTTGCTCATAGCAGCTAATAACTTCTTAGTATTTTCGTTGGCTCTAGGATTTGCAGCAGATTGAATGCTCTAAAAATGAGAAGTGTGTTAGATCGAATATTTTATGATTTTATTATGTCATTTCATCTGTAATAATTTTCTATTTAACGTACACACACATATTAGGGCCGATATGTTGATATTAATATCGGTATCAGTCGCCTTCATATATATATATATATATATATAGAAATAGAAATAGAAAAATCATCTTTATTCTGGGACTAGGTCCCTTTAGAATAACAGTATTGTTCATATATATTAACTACAAATCTGGTCAAAAGACTTCTTACAATGAATAATGACAAAATACATGTAATACATTAAGTATTAATTAAGCTCTTAGGATAAATTAACGAGGACAGTTGGCTGATAGGGGTTCAGTACTACAACATTGGAGCTAAAATAATTGCATAATAATCACTGAATGAAATTAGAAAGGAAAGTAAAATCTATTTTATAGGTAAAGCATTGTACCGACTCTATGGAAGCTAGTGTTTGATGAGTTGCTGGGTGTGCTCGAAAATGAGCGGTTCCCTGCTACGGCTTACGTCGATGACTTGGCGGCAGTAGTAGCGTCAAACAGCAGAGCCGGAATAAAGCTACAAGCAGAGCGGTGCGCCAATCTGGTCGGGCAATGGTGTGAGGGGATGAAGTTACGAATGGCCGCATCAAAGACCCAGGCGATCCTGCTGAAGGGAAAGACGGATAGGGCACACCCTATAAATCTGTGTATACAGGGAACGAGAATACGTCCAAGTGAGGTGGTCACCTACCTTGGCATAAGGTTTGGAAGAGGATTTAATATGACCCCTCATTTGGACTACTTAGGAAGTAGGGTGGCCCTAGCCTTGAATGGACTTAGTCGCCTAGGGGGTGCATTTTGGGGCCTCAGATACCCAGCTACGAGGATCATTTACGATGGAATGATAGTGGGTATTCTGAGGTACGCCTCTCCTGCGTGGTCTCAGAATCTCTCATACCGTCAGAAACGCAGATTGGCGACAATTCAACGTACGGCTCTGTTGCGAGTCACAAAATCATACCGAAGTGTGTCTCACGAGGCGGTGCAGATCTTAGCAGGAGGGGTACCTCTCGACCTTCTCCTGCGAGAAGACTCGCTAATATTTAAGTTAAAAAGAGAAGGCTCAGCAGGTCTTCCGGAGAATATCCGGGTGAGGATTGCAGAAGACCCAAGAAAATGGAAGAGGATTATCCGGGAGGACACCATAGATGAGTGGAATCGGAGGTGGGTAACAACCTTGAAAGGAGCAACCTTAAGAAAATATTTCCCCACCGTCCGAAGTCGCTTGAAAGCTAAGTGGGTTCTCCCGGACTACTGGGTCTCTCAATTCCTTACTGGGCATGGGGGTTTCCGCTTTAAGTTACATGGTTTTGGAAAAGACATAGATCCCCTATGCCCCACTTGCGGAGTACCGGAGACGGCTGAGCATATCATCGTCAACTGCACCGCCTTTGATAGACTAAGGGCCGAAATGATCAGAAAAATGGGAATCTATGGCCTCACGGAGGATGAATTTCCCGAGTTAGCGACGGAGCAGAACTACCCGTATTACAAAGATTTTGTGTACGGGTGGAAAGCTGCTCTGGGACCCTCTCACTTTAATCTAGGAAGAGAACCTGCTAATAGAAGGCCACCAGACTAATATATTGAAAATAATGGAAAAAAAAGAAGATATTTGAAAAACAAAACAAAATTGATAATTAATTTGTTGTTTAATAGCAGGAATGGCATGCACGTGTGTGATATGCCATCCCTGCAAAATCCCGTGTAGCCGAAAGGCAAGGAAGGGAGGCATAAATAAATAATAATAGGTAAAGCATTGTAGTGATGTAATATAAAAATTTAAAAAAATAATAATAACTGTTAATATGTAGGGAAAGAAATTGTAAAAACTAAAACAAAAAAATATATAAAAAAACAAATAATGATATACATATGTTCCCTAAGATATTTAAGTGATTATGCGTAAAGATTAGGAGAAAATAAAATAAAATAAAGTATATATATATATATACACATAGCGAGAAGTATGTTGAAGATAATTAGAAATAAAATACATTTCACTGAAATACATTCCATGAATAACAAATTAGAACTTAAGGAAAACAAATTTTATCTAATCACAATGCTTAGTGAGTGGTGATGAAAATTCACGTTCAACACAGATTAAAACAATAAAAAATAAGAGAAAAAAAAATAATGTCTAAAGAAAATTAAATCCTTATAACATAGTATGTATTTAACCAGCATATATTATATATATGCATATATTATATATATTATATATATATATATATATATATATATATATATATATATATATATATATATATATATTAACAGTCATAATTATACTATAATAAATATTAATAGATACCTACCACAGCTGCTTGACAGAAGAGAGCTGTGAGTAATATGTATCGCATGCCCATGTTTCCCAAAATATCCTGTAATCAAAACAATTATAAGTTTTTATTAATATTATAAATTATAAATATAATATAATGAATGTTTATAGATTTAACATTAAGTATGTCAAAAATAATTAATAAAATTGTCTATCTAATAAATGTCATCTACCTATATTTATATATATATATATGGAAATAGAATAATACATTGAATAATAATTTTTGATGATTTTTTTTAGAGCTTTTATTTTTATAGCTGGGCTAAAATGACCCGTAAGACGTTGAGGAGCTCCCATTGTTAAAAATAAATGAATTTTTATAGCTTCGTTTCTTTAATACGATTATATTATTTTTATTACATCCCATATTTGTTTACCTTCAAGATTTTGCTGAAATGCTTCCTTTGAAAAAAAAAACTTTTTTTATTTTAAAGTGGAGGACGAATTGAAATTTAAATGCATTAATATATTTATTACTTCACTACTATTTTATCCATATTTCGATATTTTGGCCAGTTTTCAAGCCATTCTCAGGTTTATAAAATGTAATCTAATATCAATACATATTTCATTTCTTTATTGAATTAAATTGAAGATGAAATTAGAATGACTAAGTCTAGAAAAATTATTCATTTTAATTTTTTCAGTTTCTAACACCATTGTTTAACTGTATTTCAAAGCCAGGTTCTAAATTTGATTTAAGGGCCGACATAGTTTTCGTGTGAAAGTCCTGTTTATCCACTTAACATGAAGTTCATACAAAACTTTTAGATACTAAACTTCTTCAAAATTGATATAAATGAAATACTTACCTTAGAAAAGCAGATGAACACTGTTAGAAGAATCTTAGCAACTACATTATATATCCGTGCATTTATTTGTCTTGACTGGGAGAAAAATATACAAAACCACCTGTTCATACTTATGTATTATGTATGAGCTTACTAAGAAATAGCTAGTCTTGTATTGATTGACAAATAACTTGGTATTTCAGCTGATTTATTCTGTTTTGACTAAACAAAAGTTGTTTTAATTAGAGATTGAAACTTTTATAGCATAAAAATAAAATTTCTAAAACTTTTGTTTGTAAAATTGCTAAAGATAAAAATACTTTGTAAAATACTTAAAGAAAGTGACATTTAATGATAACGAATCAGTAATTTGTCTTAGATTACAGATGTAATTATCTTGAATGAACTGATTCTTACCTATGATGATAAATTAGATAGCTCTGGGTTTCTGTGATAGCCACCTTTCGATGCCGGATTGGGAGTTCCAGAAACCGCAATTATATCTTTTTGATGTATTTAATATTTATATTTAGTTCCCGAAGGAAACTGATCTACCTCAATATATATAAATTGTGTATTGAAAGATAGATTCCCTTCCATTTATATATTCATTTACATCCCTACCATGCTTGAAAGGCAATACGTATTTTGGCAGCAGTAAAATGTTACACATGTCCGCGTAGCAACACACTGCTGCCAGAAAAAAAATCTGGTGCGCGCAACACACAACTTTCACTTACCGATCTACTTTGATTAGAAATTATTTTCTAGCAATGCTGGGCTATTATAAAATTTTTTGAAGTGTATTTTAAACGGAGCTAAAGCTTAAAGCTTACAGATAACAAGTCATTAAGACCATTAAAATTACAAAATGTCTATTTAATATATGGAAGACAGGCAATAAAAATCAATTTACTATATCTGATTTTATATACCACAGAATGACTAACTCCAATTTCAACATTTTTGAGTGATGTCATTTTAGTGATATTTTTAGTTGAAAAAGTTATCTATGCAGACAATGAGTAAGTTGATTCCAGAAGTAGTGATTGCAGTGTTGAAATATAGAACTGAGAATAAAAGTATAAATTTAGGTACTACTTTCTTATGAAAGATGCTCTTAGGAAAGACACTTTATTAAATATCTGTAGAAAAAAGTTTTTTTTAGTCTCAACAATTAAAAAAATATATTTTAAATTTATCCAAATTTTCACCTCTTCAGGGAAAATAACTAGAGACCATATCTTTCCTCCTGATTGTCCAATTTTAACGATTTTTTTTTTTTTTTTTAGGAAATTCCATAAACTTTTAAAAAACCATATACAATATGGTATATACTTATACTTTTTGAGTTATTCGGAATTTAATTGTAACATCCCTCGTAACTTTTTTTCAGCTTCTTTTCGTTGTAGTATGTTATACAGATAAATTTAAAGGGTATCTAGAAAATGACTTTAGCGAAGTTTCATTGAAATCGGTATATCCGTTTAGGAGCTACAGTCTGTAGGAACGCAGGTTTTTCTGCATTTTTATTTTTTTCTGGTTTATTAATTTATCGAATTCTTTCAAAAGTTATATGTAGCATTTTTTTGTAACTCTGAATAATGCGAAATGCTTAACTTTTTAAAATAAACCATATTAAAGGTACTTTAGAGGAAGACATATATGAACATTGGGCATTTTAGCCCTGTAAAGTGACATCAACGGGGATAAGAATAAATGATATTAAAGACCATTTAATTATACAAGGATACACCGAGTTTGATGAAAATCGTTAGAGTCGTTTTTGAGAAAATTGTAAAAATGTGTTTCAGCGTTTATATAAAGTGGCACTTCCGGTTAGCCGATTTTAACGAAAAAGTTGCTGTCACATCCGGCCCATATACAAACCTTAAATTCTTAATATCAGTTTCGTTCTACTTTTCGTTTATGAGCTAGACTGTTAACACACACACACACACACACACACACACACACAGACCATTTTGCGACACTTGGTTATTTGAACTCAGGGGACCTCAAAACATGTATTTCCGTTGAAAACTGAGATTCCAAAATGTTCACGATCGCAATACTTACCCTTACTATATATTACATATATACTCTAAGTGAAAGTAACAATATTAGAGTTTTTATGAGATGGGCACACAGCTTAATCGTACTGTTTAGGTTTGGTACTATTTAGGTTTGGCCATGTTCTTCCTCAGCTTCCCCTCTGTCCGGCGGTCTTGCAGGTGTTGCACCTCCATTTCTTACCGAGGAAAAATCAGTTGGACCTATAAAGATTGATTTCAATCCTGATAGGAAATCTTTGAAGTGTGAATAGTTTTCCGCACCCATAGCTGAGGGAAATCGCTTTCTGTTAAAATGTAGAGACCGGATTTCCTCAGCAGATTGGTTTTCAGTGTCTCATAGGCAGGGTAGGCTACGACTATATGCTCGGCAGTCTCTAGTAATTCGCAATTGGGGCACAAGAGGTCAATATACTTTCCAAGTTGAAAGACTTTCTGTGTGCGTAGTTGTCAGACACAATAATCAGATTCTATCCATGTGGCTGTTAACCGGGAACCAATGGTGTGAAAATATTTCCTCAAAGTACTTCCTTTCGGAGTTGTCACCCATCGCCGGTTCCAATTGTCAAGGGTGTACTCTCGTATTACCTATTTCCACCTGCCTGGTTCTTTATTAATCTTTACACCGAGATCCTCTAGTAGACCTGCCGATCCTTCTCTTAACATCTGATGCTTGAAGGAGTCTTCCTGCAGCAAGAAGTCGAGAGATACTCCTCCTGTCAACATCTGCAATGTCTCATGAGATACTGTCCTGCAAACCCTGGTAACTCGCAGCCACTAGCGGATCCAGGATTTAATTTTGGTGGGGGCTTCAGCCAAGTGATTCCTAAAGTCCCTTTAAATGTAATTACACAAACAATAATACTTTAAGAGATCATTTTTTAATATTTTTTCCATAAAACATGGTTATATTTTACCATTTTTTGGAGTGGGCTTCAGCTCTAAAGCCTCTCTTCCCCCCGTGCTCGCAGCAGAGCCATCCGCTGAGTTAACTCCATCTGCTTTTCTGGTGATGCGAAAGATTCAGATTCCAGCCAGTACCTCACACTAAGTACACATTAAATCCTGTTATCAAATATAGAAAAAAAAATTCGATTAATATGTATTTTATTTTATTTTGGATTTAATTGGAGAGATAACCAGCTACACAAATTATTTGATACATGAAAAAAAGTTATACCGAATACGTTATTATACCTCCATGACCTTGTCATTTACACAGTAGGCGCATACAGAACAACCATTTTTTTCGCCGATTAAGTGCATTTTCTAAGGAACTATTTCAAATATTTTAAAAGTTGTTCATTGATTTAAAAAGAAAAATGTATTGTCCAGAAGTTTCATTTCATGGCATTTATTCATCGTTGGCAGTTTATTTTCATAGGGCGCTTGATTTTCAACATTAGTTTGAACGAATTGAATAAATTGACTTTATCAGTATTTTTATAATCTAAATCAATTATTTTAAAATATTATTTCGTGCTTTATTATTTTCTGACTATTTACCTTTAATAAAATGGAAACTAGGACGAAATTAAACCAAATGCTGAATCTCACTGACCAAAAAGCCAACTCAAGTCAGAGTCGTCAATCCGCCATGTTGGGCGCCATTTTGGGAATGTGTGTTCACTTTTTTTTATGTGACCATTGCCTTTTTTTAAATAAATAGTTGCAAAGAACACAACGATAAGAAATTTGTAAGGAAGTGGAGGAGGGAGTGCACAGTAGGGGGTTTTGGCCCACCGTGTAACTCTACTGAGGGTGAAGATGCCATGGACGAACATCCCATGCCAAGTCCCGTGTATGAAAACGTGCATCCACATAAAATTGCGAGTATAATATTTAGAAGTTATTGAGAACAGTGATAACAATGAGCTTTATAATGGTATGTATTTAATATGACAAAATAGAATAACATTATCATAAGATTTTTATTATCTGTAAAATATACTAAATTTTTTAAGGAACTTCATTTTACCCACTGTATTTAATGATAGATTTAAATTGTGACCACACATATTATTATACAAACAATAGGGACATCACTTCATCCGAATTTCTTTCATGTTCGCACAATTTTCATAACAAAAGAGGAAAGGTGACCTGAAACTTAAATAAGTATTAATTTGTTTTATGTTTTTTCAAATATTTTATTTCAA